TTGTAGAGGATCCTCCAAGACCTCTACAATTTCAGACACAAGCTTTCATTTATAACCTTGAGACCAGTTAGAAATGATTTCCTCCACCTTTCAGAAATCATTTGAAACTCCCCCATTTTTTATTTTTTATTTATAACCTAACTACAATAAATTCCACATCTTTCTTTTAAGTTTTCTGATCCTCTTCTTTTGTTATGACACTTTTTGCCTCTAGAGACCTCTTATTTTCCTACCTCATCCACAACCATGCCTTTTTAGGCTACTCACTCATAGGATTTCTCACAAATGATTTTTTCTTTCTATGAAGAATTCTACCCGCAATGTTACAAGAATTAGAATGATTTTTGCCTAATAGATTTTCGTAGTTTACCCTTATCCCCCTCAATTCCTACCTCACAATCTCTCATCCTCTTATCCCCTTAACTACTTTTTTTCTTCACCACACTTTAAGGCTGAGCATCAATAGGACTAACAAGAACCTCATGCCCACTAGATTGACTCCTTACTTGGTGAACACTAGTGCTACTGGACTCACTAGACCCACTACCATTACTTCTTAGTCATTCTCCATACTACCCTAAGTTAACCATATTTCTATCAACATCATCTTGTTTAGTAGCACAATTCCTATCAGAATGTCTTATTTTACCACAGTAAAAATAAAAGGCTTGGATATTTTCAAACCTGAAATCTACCCAATGATTTTCAGTTCCCACTTTGATGTTTGTGCTTCTTTGTATGGGTTCCTTCAGCTTATGTTCGACTAGAACCTTGATAATTTGTCCATGAACACTGACAGCTCCAGATATATGCACATCAAGGACTTTTCCTAGCCTTTTCCCAGTTTTCATTCCAGCATCAATGCAAATTCGATGAAGCAGCTAGCAGGTTTGTAATTTGGACCCAAATCTTGATTACTTCCTCCTCCTCGAAAAATCTCAAGTCTCTTGGATTTCAACTCTTTATTAGGATATATTGTCCATTGAAGGATCGCCTTTTCCCCTGGAAGTCTTGTTTTTATCTTTATCGTTCTGGAAGATGAATTGTAATATGTTTTCACCTAGACTTTTGACTATGAAGGGCTACTTTGTAGCCCAAATCCCACCAATGTCACTTTGAGACCTATGAAATTAACCTTCTTCTCCCAAAGGTTTGCCCAATACTAAGTTGACACTCCCTCAGTCCACTCGCAATGTCCTCCTCCAGAAGTTCAACATCTTGTTTTCTTTTTCTAATACCCTAATTTTTAAGAACTTGAAAATCTCCCTTTTCTTCTATAGACATCGAAATTTTAATATTTTATTAATTAGTGTCTTTATTTTATTTTTAGACATAAATCTAAGATAAATAAGATATTTAATTAATAAAGTGAATATTTCTTTCCCACCAAGTCAAATCTTAAAATTGAGAGAAAAATCATAAGATAAGGAAAGAGATTATATCAAATCATGAAGGATCAATCAAATTGAAGCCTTCTTCTTTAAAACTCTCTCTCCTACACCTATAAATAGAGCTTTTCTCAAAGCCACAAATTACACCTCATAAATCAAAGTTTCAAATTCAAGAGCTCTCACCCTCTTGAAAATATGAAGAAGTTCTTGAAGATACAAGGGCATTCAAGTTGAAAATCGGATTCAACCTGCAATCAAGCATTCGAACTGTCGAAGTCCGTTCAATGAAAAAGTAGGCGAAGAAGAAGAAAAAGAGGCGGTGACTCTTCCCCAAGAAGTAAAGAGACGACTTCTACTCCTCTCAAATCACTCCAGGAAAGAATATCAACGACATTCAAGCGACATTCAAGCAGCATTCATCGAAAAGTTCAACCAACATAGCATTTGATCTAGGAAAAGACTATCAAGCCATCGAGTCAACGTTATCCAAGCCAAAATCTACATTTAGGAAGTTCCAAGAAGCAAGTCATCCAAGAAGTCATCTTCAATCAAATCAAGTCCTAACATTTAATACGTGAATAAGTCATTCGACCCCCAAATTAATGTTACGAAAATTCAAGATCAAGCCCAAAGAAGATCCAAGTCTAAATCCATATTCAAATATCCAAATCCAAATTCAAGAAAAAAAGAATCAGATGACACAAATAGAGATTGTACCTGCAATATCATTTGATCGAAATAAAATCAAGTTGTACAAATTGATATATTTTTTATAAAATTTGTTGCTATAAACTTGGCACACCCGATGGAGACTCAGAGTAAAATTTGTTGTTACATCATCCCGACCAACCGGAGAAGATACTAAACTCGAAAATACCAGCTAGCTCTCATCACCAGTCTCACAACTGCCCCCAAGCCAAGAGAACAACAACCCCCACCCCATGGATGACTACCAAAAGCAAAATGAGAGAAAGACCAAATGCAAGAGACAACGAAAAAAGCAAGACAAAAATACACACTTCACCCAAATAATACATGTCACCACCAATTAGCAATAATTGACATTTAATTGACATATTAACCAAAGGGGGCCAGCCCTCATGAGTCATCACCCTCATCTTTAGATACGACACTTGCTATTAGCATTAATTGATGCCAATACTAAACCCCAACTGGTTGTGCAAATGAATTACTGATGCGCCCTAGTACAACACTCGTGTATTTACGGGTGCTTGCTATTTTTTTTTAAAAAAAATTTCAAATGAATGAGATAGTTGGTTGAAAATTTTAGATACTTTCTATAAAAAAATATATTATTATATATATTAGTATGATACTTGTTACTTGTGCGACTTACATGTGTTATATTATAACAATTTTTCTACCTTATAACATATAACTACATTTAACATAAATTTATTAATTGAAAAATAATTTTTTTTTTCAAATTAGTTTCAGAAAATAAATTTATTATATATATATGTATATTATTTATTTTATATATACAAAATATATGTCAAATCGAAGTTCATCAAATGATCATAAATTTGATATATTATATATGTAAAACCGACAATAAATACAAAAGTTGTCAATTTTTAAAATACATTTACAATTCCCTCGTTATAATAAGAAATGATATTAAAATACAAATTAATATATCTAAAATGATCATAAATAAATTAACATATTTATGGTAATCCGGACCTAATTATTTTTTGACTGAAATTAGATTAAAATCTATCCAAACCAAATAATGAAGCATAAAATTTTGACACCTAGGATCCCAAAGCATGCGAACCTGCCACTTAGGCTCAGCACATTCGATAATTATATAGGGAGATAATAATAATAATAATAATAATAATAAATAATAATAATAATAATAATAATAATAATAATAATAATAATAATAATAATAATAATAATCCCCCTATATATAATTTCCGAATGCGATCAACCAACGTGGCTGCTTCTGGCGCTTCGAAATCCAACTTGGCGAAGAATCATGCTTCGTAATTAGGTTTGTACAAATAATATTGATATATTAATAATTTAATCTAGGTTCGGACATTCCATAAATATTATTTAGCTAACTTAGGTATTTTAGTATCATTTGTACTAATATAACCCTCTAATTCTTTGTAATTTTACATAGTGAGACACTAAGTGACTAATATATCTCTGACTTCTGATTTGCTTCCTACAATTAACTATTGAATTATAAATGTATTTTAAAAGTTGATAACTTTTGTATTTCTTAACGATTTTACATATATAATATATCAAATTAATCATCTTTTGATGATCTTCGATTTGACATCCATATTGTATATATAAAATAAATAAATTATATTTATCATTTTAATAATAAAAAATAATAATATTTATTTAAATTCATTAGAAAAATAAAATTATTTCTCAATTGATATATTTATGTTTAATATAGTTATATGTTGTAAGTTAAAAAAATTATTATAATATAGCACAGTTAAGTCGCACAAATAAAAAGTGTCATACTAAATATATAATAATATATATTTTTATAAAAGGTAGTTAAATTTTCAACTATTTTTTTTCATTAATTTTAAATTTTAAGAAACAAATTAGCAAGCACCTGTGTAATACTAATAATAATAATAATAATAATGTAAGTAGAGCATATATCATATTTGTGTTGTTAGGTAGATATTGATGTTAAATGAGCTATAGATTCTGATGGATCAGCATGAAAGAATAGGTGAAGTCATCAATTATTTTATTCGTTTAAATTATTTCTTTTTGTCTGGATTATTTAATTCCAACATGTCAGAACTAACTCCATTTATATATAATAATAATAATGTAATTAAGATTTTTAACGTATATGTTTATATTTTGTTCTATGACAAAACATACTTACTTTATTTTTCATATAATACCCAACTGCTTATTTTATTCTAAGAGTTGTCATAAAAAAATTGTTATTTATTTAAAAAAATATATAATATAACAACTCTTTTAAATTTAGTTGTTTAATTAACACAATTTAACTAAAATTATGTAAACAACTTGCCTATGCTTAAATTTAAATTTCGAAACCTTATTTTTCGGAACGAGAACATTTCGATCCAATTCAGTACGGAAAAATTCCTTTTTTTGTCCTCCCTTATCATATACCACAATTAACATAAATAGTGTCCCTCAATATGAAACCATTCCGTCGGAGTTTGTAACCATCGGAAATAGTTGATCTAACGGTTACAAATCCCGACGGAATGGTCCCATAACGGGACCGTAGCATCCACAGAAAGGATATAATCATTTTTACACGGTCTGGTAATAACTGATCACTCAGAAATAACACACATCAACCACTCTACAACTTGGGCCAACAAACCATATATGCCCACTCCAATCTCTTATTCACAATTTTTTCTTTTAATTTTTTTCTCTATTCTACACAATATGCGAATGTCACCAGCACAACAATCCTACGCAGAGATGAATGTGCTGCAGTATATAAGAAATAATCATCAAAGCATAAAAGTGAAACAAGGTGCATGACTTATAGTACAGCAAACGCACGTGGCCGGCCCCGGCGCCGCCAAACCCGACTTCCTAACGCCCCTAACGACACCCGCCGGCCGCAAACCCGATCCTCGAACTCCCCACATCGTACCCGATATCAAACCCCTGCTGCTGCTGGTTCCCGATAATAGCAAGATCTCTCAGACCCGAATTCCCCGCCAACGACAAGCAAGTCGTCCCCTTCACCACCTCAATAAGAACGTTATGTGCCGCCAAGTTCATCGTCGCCCCACCTCCAAACACCAACACCACCGCCGGCACTACTCTCCCGATCTCCTCCGAACCCCCCACGAAACACGCGTCGAGGATCGAAAAACTCCCCGCCGATTTAAACCTCATCGATATGACCCTCACCAGCTCGGCCCTCAGGGCCGCGTAAACCGGGCCCGCCAGCCTCGAAATCGTCGTCCCCGAGTCGATAATCGTGGGCACGCCGAAGTCGGAGGCCAGCAGGCCGAGCGGCCTGCCGCCCACCGACACGCCCGACAGCTTCACGAAGTAGAGCGTCGGGTCCCGCTGGTCGGAGACCAGCGGCGTGAACTTGTACGCTGGATTCGAACTCGAACTCTTCCCG